AAACAGCCACACTGCAGACATCGTAGTGATATGACTGAAAAATTGTTAAAGCTATGTTAAAACTCATAATCACATCACATCACATCTAAGAATTAATCATCTTTTATTCATATTAATTCATTGTGAATGAGGAAATAATTGATATTTTAATTTTAAACATGTATTTACAAAAGCAATTTGCATGGATGCAGACTTTATGCTAGTTCACAAAGAATCATCTGGGCTTTAACAAGGTCTGGGGAAAGCAAGACATGAAAATAGCTATTTCATGAACCAGGACCAGGTTGACAGTTTTATGGATAACTACAGTGATCAGAAGTATGCATCAGTGTTGAAAAAGCAGTTAAAAACTTTAGAGTTTAGTGAGGTCCTGTCATTCATGAAACATAATGACTCATACATGCAGATATTACCCACCAATAAATGATCATTATGCAAATGACACAATTTTTCAGCATAATAGAATCAGTTTTATCATTGATAATTATTTGCTTATCTTGGATATATTATTTGATTGATCAATTTCAATTATAATTATATATAGTGATATGCACTAGTTCATTTTGATTGGAATATCTATGATAGAGGATGAAAATGGAAATGGTTATGTTATGTTATGTAGAATGGATATACTGCATTGAAGCCAGCTATTAGGTATACAAATATGCATTTATTCAGTTGATAAAGGAAATATTTCAAGCATTATTAAGTCTTAACCTTTCTGAGATATTTTACAGTCTATAAATTTTGTGCACTGTATTAAACACTGTTAAAAATACTAGTACTAGTTACTTGTACAGATATTGTATCTGATCAGTTTATCTAATTTTGAAAAGTATTTTTTATTTGCTCCAGTGGTCAGACCAGATTAGCTTATGGGATGAGCTGTTTTTCATCTGTCATCAGGCTGTCTGTCAGTAGGCCTGATGAGTGTATGAGATGACCTGTTTGTTGTCTGGAATCAGGCTTCCTATTGGTAGGTCTGATAAGCTTATGGGATGGACTGTTTGTCATCTGTCATCAGGCTGCATATGGGATGGCCTGCTTGTCATCTGTCATCAGGCTGTTTGTCAGTAGGATTGATAAGCTTATGGGATGGCCTGTTTGTCATCTGTCATTAGACTGTTTGTCAGTAGGCCTGATGAGTCTATGAGATAGCCTGTTTGTTGTCTGTCATCAGGCTGTTTGTCAGTAGGTCTGATGAGTATATGAGAGGGCCTGTTTGTTGTCTGTCATCAGGCTGCATATGGGATGGCCTGCTTGTCATCTGTCATCAGGCTGTTTGTCAGTAGGACTGATAAGCTTATGTGATGGTCTGTTTGTCATCTGCCATCAGGCTGTCTGTCAGTAGGCCTGATGAGTTATGAGATGGCCTGTTTGTCTTCTGTCATCAGATTTCATATAGGATGGTCTGCGTGTTATCAGTTATCGGGCTGTTTTGTCAGTAGGACTGATAAGCTTATGAGATGGCCTGCTTGTCATCTGTCATCAGGCTGTATGTCAGTAGGACTGATAAGCTAATGGAATTGCCTGTTTGTCATCTGTCATCAGGCTGTTTGTCAGTATGACTGATAAGCTTATGAGATGGCCTGATTGTCGTCTGTCATCAGGCTGCATATGGGATGGCCTGCATGTCATCAGTCATGGGATATTTGTCAGTAGGACTGATAAACTTATGGGATAGTCTACTTGTCATCTGTCATCAGGCTGTATGTCAGTAGGAATGATAAGCTTATGGGATGGCCTGCTTGTCATCTGTCATCAGGCTGTATGTCAGTAGGACTGATAAGCTTATGAGATGGTCTGTTTGTCATCTGTCATCAGGCTGTATGTCAGTAGGACTGATAAGCTTATGGGATGGCCTGTTTGTCATTTGTCATCAGGCTGTTTGTCAGTAGGACTGATAAGCTTATGGGATGGCCTGCTTGCCATCTGTCATCAGGCTGTTTTTCAGTAGGACTGATACGCTTATGGGATGGCCTGCTTGTCATCTGTCATCAGGCTGTTTGTCAGTAGGACTAATAAGCTTATGGGATGGCCTGCTTGTCATCTGTCATCAGGCTGTTTTTCAGTTTGACTGATACGCTTATGGGATGGCCTGCTTGTCATCTGTCATCAGGCTGTTTGTCAGTAGGACTGATACGCTTATGGGATGGCCTGCTTGTCATCTGTCATCAGGCTGTTTGTCAGTAGGACTGATAAGCTTACGGGATGGCCTGTTTTGTCATCTGTCATCAGGCTGTATGTCAGTAGGACTGATAAGCTTATGGGATGGCCTGTTTGTCATCTGTCATCAGGCTGTTTGCCAGTAGGACTGATTAGCTTATGGGATGGCCTGCTTGTCATCTGTCATCAGGCTGTTTGCCAGTAGGACTGATAAACTTATGGAATGGCCTGTTTGTCATCTGTCATCAGGCTGCATATGGGATGGCCTGCTTGTCATCTGTCATCAGGCTATTTGTCAGTAGGACTGATAAGCTTATGGGATGGCCTGCTTGTCATCTGTCATCAAGCTGTTTTTCAGTATGACTGATAAGCTTATGGGATGGCCTGCTTGTCATCTGTCATCAGGCTGTTTGTCAGTAGGACTGATAAGCTTATGGGATGGCCTGTTTTGTCATCTGTCATCAGGCTGTATGTCAGTAGGACTGATAAGCTTATGGGATGGCCTGTTTGTCATCTGTCATTAGGCTGTTTGCCAGTAGGACTGATAAGCTTATGGGATGGCCTGCTTGTCATCTGTCATCAGGCTGTTTGCCAGTAGGACTGATAAACTTATGGAATGTCCTGTTTGTCATCTGTCATCAGGCTGTTTGTCAGTAGGACTGATAAACTTATGGGATGGCCTGCTTGTTATCTGTCATGAGGATGTCTATCAACTCAGGTCTATTGCTGATACTTAACCACTTGACATGAAATTTTACAATTTTGTTTGTCCAATTGTTCATAATACAGACATTGTATTAATATGACTGAAAATGGTTTTTTTAGCTATGTTCAAATCTAAATCACACACACACACATTATTCACCTGGTTCTATATCAAAATGTTGCTACTCATAAAATATCTAACAGAGAAAGAGAAAGGGGAAGATCTTATCAATTAAGTAAGACAGACCACATACCATTTGCCTCCCTCGCTCTCCAGAGAGAGAGAGAGTTGCAGTGATGGAGGAATAAGTTGGGGTTTTTTTACTTGGTAGAATAAGAGATTTTATAAACTAAGTGAAAGAGAACATTTATTTAATTTGGGTTTCCAAAAAATTATAAATATCAATAATATGAATTAAATAATTAATGACTACACATTTCACCTTTATATCTTTTACTTTAATGAAAGTTACATCATTAAATGAAAACTAATCAGTCTTTTAATGAACTGATTATGCATGAGAAAGAGGCAGAGCACAATTATAGACATTACAGTACACCAAATACTATCATTACAGTATACCAAGTAATATCAGTAGTGTATACTAAGTACAGTGTGTACAGTAAACCAAGTAGTATCAGTACAGAATACCAAGAAGTATTAGTACAGTATACCAAGTATTATCATGACAATGTGCCAAGTAGTATTAGTACAGTACACCAGGTAGTATAAGTACAGTATACCAAATACAGTCAGCACAGAATACCAAGTAGTATCAGTACAGTTTGCCATGTACTGTCATTACAGTATATCAAGTAGTATCAAAAATATAGTATGTTTAGTACTAGCGCTAATAATCTGGAGTAACATGTACTGATCAAAAATAAAAATTCAAAACTTGATGTGTATGGTATTTTGGATCTGAATGCAAGCACATGTTCCCTCTGCTTTTCTGTCACATGTGACATTGTGACAGGTAATATTTGATATTTCTCTTATTTCTTTTGAATGGATTTGTGAATAGGTTAATGGAACTTATATAGACATTGTAAACTTTTGTCATAAAGTTTAAATCTTTTGAGTATCTGAATGATAAAAAACTCATTCATAAAGCCTTAGTGTGCTTTGTTTGTTGGAATGATACAAAACTCATTCATAGAGCTACCGTGTGCTTGTTTGTTGGAATGATACAAAACAACTTCATAAAGCTACAGTGTGCACTGTTTGCTGGAATGTTACAAAACTCATTCATAGAGCCACCATGTGCTTTGTTTGTTGGTATGATACAAAACCCATTCATAGGGCCACAGTGTGCTTTGTTTGTTGGTATGATACAAAACTCATTCATATAGCCACCATGTGCTTTGTTTATTGGAATGATACAAAACTCATTCATAGAGCCACCATGTGCTTTGTTTGTTGGTATGCTACAAAACCCATTCATAGGGCCACAGTGTGCTTTGTTTGTTGGTATGATACAAAACTCATTCATAGAGCCACCGTGTGCTTTGTTGGAATGATACAAAACTCATTCATAGAGCCACCATGTGCTTTGTTTGTTGGTATGATACAAAACCCATTCATAGGGCCACAGTGTGCTTTGTTTGTTGGTATGATACAAAACTCATTCATAAAGCCACAGTGTGCTTTGTTTGTTGGAATGATACAAAACTCATTCAAAAGCCACAGTGTGCTTTGTTTGTTGGAATGATACAAAACTCATTCATAGAGCCAGAATGTGTTTTGTTTGTTGACAGTATTATTCAAGACACTATCTTTTGTTTCGTTTTATTACACTGGTTGTGTTTATGTCTCTCTGGTAAGTTTTATGTTTTCCAAATTAAATGTCACCAAGTTGTCCATTGTGTTTAATGATTAGAAAATATGTGTGTGATTTAGATTTGTAATGTAGCTTTAACAATTTTTCAGTAGTATTGCTACAATGTCTCTCGTGTGACTGTTTATAGTGATGTCCAGCACTGGGGCATCATGCCACATACATATGACATGATATGCCACCCAGTCACATTATCCTGACACCAGGCCAACAAATCCTAACACTAACCTCCTAATGTTGAGTGCCAAGCAAGACAGGTGTTAGTACCATTTTTTTAAAAATTATTTGGTATGACTCGGCCCTGGTTCGAACCCGTGACCTCCTGCATACAAGGCAGATGCTATAACCACTAAGCCACCAGAGCAGTCATTAGTAAATGTATTTTGTATTCTAGGAAACAAACCATACAAGCATCATTTTCCACTAAACTATTGTTTTATATTCCCTTTCAATCATAATAACTTGAGAGTTTCAAAACGAAATCCTATGGTGATCATTATCAAATACATTTATAATTATGCCTTGCTTGGTTCCTTTTTGTGTTCGATAATTAGTCAATTAAACCTTCCACATAGCCCAAAGTTTAACCAGCAAATTTAGTTTTGATCTTAAAATTTAACATCTATGTATTCATTTTGTATATTGCTTTCTTTTTAGGTTGAGTTATGCAATAAACCTATTGAAACATTTCACTCATGAATGACAAAAAGAGGAAAAGATCATTGCAATGTATGATATTGCATGTATGATTCACAAACTTCTTTTGTTATGTTTGCAAAATAGGAAGAAAACTGTTCAGATGTTAATATTGTTCATATGTTATTTTGCGATTTCATTTATATCAGTCATTCAGTCAGAAACAACTTCTGTTATTATTTTTGCATAATGGCTTATTTGATTCAATTAACTAAAATGTTACCATAGCTGTTGGCTTAGAATGTATGTATATTTAGAATTTAAGGGCATTTCATCAGAGTAATGCCATATAGCGCTAATTTAAAGTTGCATTCCCAATGTTTAATTTTTTTAAAGTTTAGAAACAGTGGTTATACTGACAGGCATGTGAATGTTAGACAATGGGTTCCTTGGAACTGCTTTCATATATCTCACCACATATCATATGTTTATTTGACTATTAGCATTTAACTTTCTGAACAGTCTAAATTATCCAAAACTAATGAAATTTAATTAGAAGATGCATTCTGACATGAATTTTCTCACTTTCTTGGAACAGAAATGTGCCTGCTTTGCCTTAAATGCATGACAAAAACATGTTCGATAATTAGTAGTTGTTGTTGTTGTTGTTGTTGTTGGGCTTAACGCCATTTTTCAGCACAAGATAGGCTATTCATGGCGGCCAGTATTAATGGTGAAGGAAGAAACCGGGAAATCACCGGAAAGAACCACCGACCCACGAGAAGCTACTGGCAAGCTTTCTCACATATCTACATTAGCCGAATCCTAGACTCGAACACACGCAGACAGAGGTGAGATGGCAGTGATCCGTAACGGACAGCGCTTTAGACCACTCTGCCACTCGGGGCCCCTCGATAATTAGTATAATTATTGTTATTATCAATCGGTTACAATATGGAGAGAATGTGACAGAGACTGACCTAACAGATGGAGTAGGTATGGGGCAGCTTTGATTCTAGCTTTAAAGATTTTCCAAACATCAATGACCTTGGACATCAGACAGGATCTTCTGGTGCAAGCTTTGTTCTATTACAGTGAGAATCTGAAACTAAAGCTATGTATAAGCTTATGCTGGAAATTGAGAGAAAATAATAAATATGAATAATATTTTCTACACATTGCCTCAAAGTCAACTTAGTATCAATAATTTGGCTACTTTCGCATTAGTCTTTTATATGGAAAAATCAGATTTCATTCTGCCAATGACCATCTTTGTAACAGGGGTTAATAATTTTAACAATTGAGTGGAGAATAGTGCATTTTATTGTGTCAGACTGGTGTGTTTTGTTGAGTGAGACTGGTGCATTGTATTGCTTGAAGACTGGTGCCTTTTCTGGAGCCCATTCTGGTGGAAGTTGCTCATACCCATCACTTTCATGACCATATGCTTGTCCATTTATATATACTTTAGTACATCCATATCTGAATTGGTCTTTCATATTAACTTCAATGTTGAAGTTATTTATTTAGATACTGATGTACAAAATGCAATTTACCAAACGATTATGGTTGGTATGACATGCAAGCCCTTGCCAGCTTTTTCTTTCTAATAGGAAATACATGTACCAAATGAAATTATGAATTTTGAAAGTATACAAATATGATCCCCAATCTCCTTCCAGATATATTTAAACAGTTTGTCCTTAAAATATTCATTCCAAAATTATGATGTATAAGTGGAAGTCAATTCATATGTCCCATGATGCTTTCTTGTTGCAGTGTTCTTTTTCTTTTGTGATTTTTCTGTACCCTGTATGCTGAGTAAGGGTATATATCTTGTTGGGACTAAAATAATCCTAATCTTTATCAGAGCTTTTGTTATTTTAAAAGTCTCCACCAGGAGTTTTACTTATTATGAGCATTGTAGGTTAATGCAAAATTGGTGTCACTCCAGTTTTTACATCTTTATTGTGCTGTTAAAATATCAGTTTATTTTTCGGTTACCAGACATGAAGAGTAACACTTGATTGTCATTGAGCAGAAGGCTTCTTCACTTGAGTCAATGAAAAGTCAGTAACACTTGATGGTCATTGAAAACTGAGTCAATGAAAAGTTAACACATGTTATGAATTTTTTTTCAAATATTAACTGCGAAAAATTTTATATACAATAACAGGTCTGATTTTCTGCTATTATCAATATAAATATGGATGTTATGGTAACCACCAAAGCTTCTTTCACTTAACAGATGTTGATTTGCCTGTGATAGAGAGAAATACCTTGTAAAAGTTTCATCTTAACTAATATCATTTTTAAAAAGTTATTGCCCGTTTTGAACATTTAAATTCTGATGCTGTTTTATAATTTGCTATCATGCCATATGCAGTTAATCACTAGTTTTATATTATGTCTATGCAAGCTTTCATGTCTTGTTTCAGTTGTGTTCTTTTGTGTAATTAAAAATAAGTTGATATTTGTTATACAGGTTGATTACTGACTGGATAATGTTGAATTGAATGATATTGTTTAATAAATAGAAGAAAAAAATAATGCAAGAAAAGCTAGATAAGCCTTCATTTTGACAGAGGACAATGCTACTTCATCTGCTCCCATATATGATGTATAACAATTAATAGCCTGTAATTTTAATGGGCTGTTTGTGTCCTCAACTGGTTGACATATCTGACTCGATTGTGTACTAACATCAGCAAAATTAAGTTTACTTTCATCTAGCTCATTAATATATTCAACTCAATGTTTATGTTATCTTGTATGGATACTACCCTAAAAAGTAGATGATAGTGTGCATTGACGAGTTTCTGTGGATTACATAGAACAGTTTACAAAGTAAATATATTATTGAGTATACATTTGCCTAAGTTGGTTTCTCACTGTAAACCTTTCCAAAAAATACTATAATGTAGCAGGAAAGTAGTTTATTTGAATGTTGTTAATAGTGTGAATTTGTAAGTCATACTAAATGAGGAATGTCAAAACATGAATATAATAACGCGTCTCTGGCTATCAAGATATTTTCCACTATTCATCCATGATTTTGAATATAAAAAATGTGAAGGATATTCCCAGACATGAGTATAATTGGGAATAAAGTCCATTAGTTTGATATCTTTAAGATTTACTTTTTATGGGTGGTGAACTCCCTTCTATTGAGTAGTACATAAGTTCATTGTTTCAGTTCTGTCAGGTAAGGTACTTATAAACAATTTGTACAGACAAATTGCTAGGAAACACAGAGACTTGCACCCTACTTGCATGAATAGGTGGGACCAAGCTCCATACAAGCCTTTTAATATATCATAAGATTCCTATCTCAATGACATATCTTGACTCTTGGCGGGTTTTTTTTTTGCATACCCAGTCTTGCATACTTCAAATAGTACAAAATTTTGATGTAACAACTTGATACTACTGATATTAATCCATCACTCACATGTACAAAAAGTCTTTTGTTGTTTATATTAGTTACATTTCTAGCAACAATGTATGTTTCCATTTTAAGGATTTTACCAGTTTTGCATTATCGTTGTTTTGTATGGGTTTTGTGGTGACAGACTCACTCGATTAGCAATATATGGCAAGGACTGAGCCAATGGCTCATCACACCGGTACATGTTTTCATTTTGGGTCTGTTTTTATTTTCATGGTTTAGTAACTCTTAAGAGATAATATTTACCGCTTTATTTTGAGAGTGAAACTTTATGACTCTTTAGAATCATTTTTACAGGTAAAACGTCAATTAACAAGTAAAAACCATGGGTAGTTCAGTGTCAGAAAGCTGGACCAGGCATCTTTATATGAAATAGGCTTTATTATCTTTTAAAACAACAATAAATTCAATAAAGTTTGGCTAGCATATGTGTATGCAGGTGTAGAGGACTCAATCACATTTCATTGCTGTGACAACAGTCTTTCATATTCTTTTCTTGATACACTTTTGAAATTTTTTGAACTTGAGACCTTGTGGACAAAACCTTGTTAACATGATGAACAAAAACCTCAACAAATTATAGTTTCTATTTATAACATATTAAATTTTAGACACAAATCTTATTAGGATTAAGTAAATGCTATTGGAGGTGGACAATTACAGTATGGCAGATGTATCTGTATTTGTTTATAGACGACAAAGTTTGATTTTCTGTGTAGTTACATCAGTTTTTCATTTTTCTTACATTTCCATTTATTGGGAAATAGAGACTGTACGGACCAAAACCTTGTTTGCATATTAATGAAGCAAAAACCAGGTAAACAAATTGTACAGACATAAATTATTACATTTTCAACACAAACCTACATAGCGTGATATGTGTTTGTGGTAGGCCATTTTATTACCTGTACTATGAGTACACGAGAATAATAATACTATATTTTTATTACCATAATGAAAAGATCATGCATCATGTTGTCTTTGAAGTAGCCTGTTAAAAATTAAAAGCACACGACTGAGTCAATTTAGCAATGTAGTGAAAATGTTAGTGTTGCTAATGTAGATAGTTCAGTTGGAAAAACAGTAATTCACATTCTGTTTGGTGGATAATAAGAAGCATTACAATTTATTACTAGAATACATGTGAACAGTAATATTTATTACATGCAAGCATTACTATTTATTATGTGGAATACATGCAAGCATTAATATTTATTATTTGGAATATATTTGAGAATTGCTATGTACTATATGCATATATACAAGCAATACTATGTATTACAG